TGTAATTAAATTGCTCTTTTGTGACTCAATTCTTATCAATTTTAATATGGAAAAACCACACTTGCCAGAGGCACATCAGCACTCACCCATAAAGTTTTCATGAAGAACCCAAGAGGAAATGAGGTCTCTTGGTGTCTCAAATGGAAGGAGAAGGAGGTGGTAGGGTGGCTGGTGACACACCTTCAACAAACTCACCTAGGAGAAATGTATGGCCTAGGGTTTTGGGCCATACTTTAGTATATATAGTCACTTAAACCATAAACGCACATTATTAACTTTAATTGCTACGCTTAGCATTTTAATCCCAAACTCAGGATTCTTAACTTACTCAACTTTACAAGAATTTTCATATTTTTCTTATATTTTCTGGAGCACCTTTCCGGTACGCGCTTTTCATAGCCAGTACCAGTTTCTGGCACCAGTTCTCATTATTTTAACTTGAAACTCGTTTTACAAGTCCTGTATATTATTTTAGTAATTATCATGTACTTATTATAATTTTTTGGGATACTTTTTCGGTACACATTTATACCGACTAGCAGAACCGGTATCTGCACTTTTCGTCAGAAAAGCGACTTTCAGCATTATTACTCACTTACTATAATTATTAGAGCCTCATAATAATTATTAGGGTCAATTATGGAATTATCTCATTAAACTCATAATTAACTGATTAATTTCCTTAATTAACGGTGCGGGTTCTTACACATAGTCATAAGATTAGAATTTTTACTTGTCTTTTTAACACACTTTCATGGTTTAATTAAGTCCTTTAAGTCTTTAGTCCCCAAAGCTACCATCTTATTCATTTTAACCATTAAACACAAATTTTAATAGTTAGGGCAGAATCATAACATGTGATTTTTGTAAGAACCTGCACCGCTAAGTAATTAATTTAATAAGATTATCGATGTCGGAGCATGAATTTGATAAAGATTATGCATAATTATGGTAAGATAAATATTATGAAGTTGAATAATGCTTGGAGTCGCTTTTCGGATGAAAAGTAAAAATACCGGTTCTGCTTCGCGGTATAAATGTGTACAGATGAAGTATCCTGAAAAATTATAATAAAAATATAAATATTCCTATAAAAATATCTAGGTCAAGGATATCAAGTTTGGTGTAAGAATAATGGGCGTTGATGTTAGAACTAATACCGGCTATATATAAAACGTGTACCAGCAAAGTGCTGCGAAAATTATAAGAAAAATATGGTAATTCCTAAAAAAATGGCTAGGTTCAAAATATTAAGTTTATGAGTAAAATGATTAGCGGATCTATTAGAACTAATACCGATGAGTTAAGAGGGTAACCTTATATAAGTGAAACTTAGACACTTATTCTATTTTATACCAAAAGACCTACGCAGCTCTTCCCAAAACTTCAAACCACCTTCTTCTCTATTCCCATGGAAGATCACACCTTTCTTCATGGGAGTTAGCAAAGAACCCTTTTTTATGCATTTTTCTCCATCTTGATCCTTCTTGTGAGTAGAAAGTAACCATTTTGAGGTAGAAAGGTCTCTTCTTGGAGCCATTCTTGTTGCTGCCTTAGGAAGGAGAGAGTGAGCCCTGTGAGTTCTAGAGTTGGAGTCAACATCAAGCTTGCTTGGACGCTCTTATGGTGGGAGGAGTGAATTTCATCACTCCATTTTCGTGTACAGAGCTTGGTGGGAGTAAAGAGTGGGTTTTCCAACATCAAAGGTCCATTATTTTCTATTTGCAAAGCTTTGGGGTACATTCCTAACCTTTGTTCTTGAGTTTTCATGTAAAAGATCAAGTCTTGACATGTTAAATGAAGATATTAATCAACCAACAGGAACACTTGCTTAAATGTGTCTAAAAATGCATGCTTGGACATCTGAAAGTGTTAAAAATGGAGCTTTGAAGGGATATCTTCGCGAAAATGAAAAACTGCATTTTGTCGCAAAATATCCAGATATTTGGGTTTGTGATATCTGGATATGGATATCCGAATATTGGGTTTGTGATATCTAGATATGGATATCCGGATATTGGGTCTGTGAATATCTGGATATGGATATCCGGATATTGGGTCTGTGATATCCGGATATTGACCCTGTGATATCCGGATATTGATATCCGGATATGTCCCCGAGGAATATCGGGATATTCTGGAAAAAAATCATATTTTAAGCTATTTTTCCCAAACAGAAGCGTGGGTTTAGATATTGATATCCAGTTTGTGCTCATTAATTAACTTATACAAGGTTTCCACCTTTGTTGAGACATTAATTTGTACATTTTGCCCAAAGAGGAATGTACTCATATTGCCCTTATTACGATTACTTATGCTCATTGAATAACTCATTTGAGCTTATGCTTTGGTTGCAACTTGGTATATGCATTCTGCTCTAAGAAAAATGTACTATTGTGTTGACCTAGTTATAACAATTTGCTTTGATTAAAGTTGTATCTTGCCCTATATTTTATTATGATGCATTCTTTTTTCCTTGATAAGTGGGAGTTATAGAGTATTTTAGATTCTTTTGATTCCCTTAATCAATGGGAGTTATATTCAGAGCTTGATTTTGAGTATTTTATATTCTTTTGATTCCTTTAATTAGTGGAAGTTATAATTAGTTTACTTTTCTAGTTACTTTTGTATGCAAAGTGATGATGATTTTATGACATTTGTTTGAATTTTCATAAATGATAATCATCATTATTGTTAGTTCTCCCATTGAATGAGAAATATGTGTATGAAATATTATCTTTAAGCATGTTGTGAGCATAAAGATGATTGGATGTCACAAATTTTGAGATCTCATATTGTATTGTGACATTTTGATTTATTTAACTTGAGAAATTTCATGTCATTTAGAAATTGCATTATTTGAGTTTCATGTTGTTAAAAAAGTTGGATTGAAAGTAGCACTTTCATGTTGTTAAGAGATTGCATCAAGAAGATCAATTTCATATAGTCTCAAAATTGCACTAATGTAATTTCATATTGTTGAAAAAATTACATGGCAGACCAATAAGAATTAGACTGTTACATAGTTGATCACATTTTGGCACTAATTTTTACTACACTATTATGCCAATGATTAATAAAGATCTAATATTTATTGTATGAGTATGAAAGGTTATATGTTACGGTATTTTCAACATATTGATCACCATGTTCTTATTATAAGGTTATATTGGATTGGATTCAACTTAGATGTTAGAATTGGAATATTGATTTTTCAAAATTGTCGCCACATAAGATGATTTTCCAATTGTTAACACTAGAGTCATTTTCAAAATAAATGTTAAATTAATTAATACAGCTCAAGTAAGAGAATGTTAGAATTTTCTATTATATGGGTTTTATTAATTAATATTATTTTATTTTTTAAAAATAATTTGGGTTAATGAAATATTTCAATTCAGTTTTATTATCTAATTAAGCTCATTGTGATCATATTATATTTTTGGGTTGATGACATCTTATTAGATTGAGTCTAGTTGGATAGGAGTGCAGACTTTTGAAAAATAAAATATTATATTATTTTGTTATTTTTTAAATAATAAAAGTTAAAACATTAAGTAATAAAAATTACAATTCATAAAAATTATAGACAATAAGAAAAGCTATAATATTTTTTATTACTGTAATTTTTATTATTTAATTAAATTTTTAGAAAGTAATACGGTATTATTTTCAATTGAGTGTAGAAGTAAATTTCAAAATTTAAATGAAAACAAAGTAATAAAAAGTTGAGTAAATATCATTTTTAGTCCCTAACAAAAAACACGGTCTCCACTTTAGTCCCTTACAAAAATAAATTAGTTAGTTAGTCCCTAACAAATTTAAAGTGGACCCATTTAGTTGAAATCGTGGTCCCTCACAAATTCAAAAAAGACCTATATTAGTCCCTCAAAAGGACTAGAATGGGTCTACGTTGAATTTGTTAGAGACTAACTGACTAATTTATTTTTGTAAGGAACTAAAGTGAGGACTGTGTTTAGTGTTAGGGACCAAAAATGGTGTTTACTCTAAAAAGTTTTTCCAGCCACAAAGAAAAAGAAAAAAATCCTAATTTTTTAGCTCGGGACAGAACCAGGTGCTGACCTGCTGCTACAGAAGTGCGGGTACGTGACGCCTTAAATGTCAAGTTTTAACCTAATATTTACTGTTTTGCATGAATGCGTCATTCCCCATGTCTCAGAAAATCAGGCTTTTACTACATGTCCTGCTTTCCCATTGTCTCAAAAGTGTTGTGTTAAATTTGCAGATCTAGCTGTTGTTGGGACCATAGCAAGTGAATCCTACAAAAACCTTCCAGAAAGAAACTCAATTTATTCAGGATTACGTTACTCACTCCTAAGCCCACCTAACATAACGTTAGGTATTTACTATGCTCTTTTATTGATCTCTGACCATCGACGGTACAACTTCTTTGAAGCCTTTTTAATTTTCATTTTGACACAAATTAATGCCTAATATATCTTCTTATTTTTCATGAATATAAATTTTACTTTAATTAGAGGCTACATAAAACATAATAGAAGGACCTTATCCTCTGTCTATAAATTAAATTCCTCCCTTAAAATTTAGAGCTTGGATTAGTGGTGTTACAATATAATTTGTTCCCATTAATAACCGTTGACAGCAACTCGGTCCATTCTAATACTATGCACGCCCATGGCCTGGCAGGTCAAGGCACATGTCCACTTCGCATTTCCTTTTTATTCCTTGTACGTCTGGTTTCTTTGTTGTGTGTGGTAGCATGTTTCGCTACAGCAATCTTTACGAAAACGGAACTGCATTTTTTTTATTTTTTTTTAAATACAAGGTGAGGTAAAAGCTCTCTCTATTTCAAAATTGATGCAAACTTGAGGCGAACCACCAAACGATAATATAGGATAAGATCATAAATTACAAACTAACGCCGAGTCCTATATTTCAACCCAAATCATGCAATTATCATAAACAGAAAGTTAACACATGAACCAACCCTGATGGAGAAAAAAAATGTAGCTACCCATTATCATAAAAATAACTGTTACATTTTCTATTATAAAAAAATTAAACATAATGTAGAATTTTCCCCCTTTAACAAATGTGTTGTCCTCTCCCCTCCTTCCCATACAACTCATTACACAAAAGCATATATATAGGACTATGATCTATAAATAATTGGGAACTCCTTCTGGGTGTAAAGAAAATAAATCAGATCTCCAAAGGGGCACCTGATTTTCCCATGAACTTCTCCTATTTTCTATACCTTCTCATCTGGTTCAGAGGATACAGGTACTGTACTATAATCTTGTGTTTTGGTGGTAGGAATGGAAAAGCTACGACGCTCTTTCCCCCCGGGCTTAGAAGAAGCATTGCCATACCAGATCATTCCCGCTATTGCAATGATCATGCCCAGAACGACTTGTAGATTGAGACCCTCTTTTCCAAACAACATGAATCCTAAGAACAGGACCAGAATAGTCTTCATATGGCCAAGGACTTGGAATGATACAGCCGTAAACCTACCAATGCAGATGAACTGGCTGAGGTTTGTCCCTACTGCGATAGTGCAAGACAGAATGATGAACAACTGCAGAGAGCACGAGCAGCTCAGTTTAATAATAGTATTCCAGTAGTCACCGTATTCACAAATGTTTTTTAGAGTTAAGGTAAACTGTATGGTATTTAACTATTTATATATTTGACATAAAGTGTATACATATTTGGATCATCAAATTTTCCTTAGGATATGTTTGAGTCAATATTAAGAGGGAACCGGAAAAGGAAGGAAGGGGAAGATTTTGTTTATGTCTTCTTCTTGTATGTGATTTTAAAAATAGGAAAACAGAATAAATAATTTTTGTAAAACCTTCCAATACCCTTCTCATCCTTAAAATCATAGTTCCCCCAATTTTGGAGGTATGGGAGAAGATATAATAAATCACTTGTGCCTAACTCTCTTTTTCAAAAAAAATTATTTTCTCTCTTGAAATTATTTGATAAAACTATATTTTTGTTGTTTCCAATTGCATTATTTTGAAATAAGTGATTTGCTTTTATATTTGTGATTTATAATTTTTTTAATAATTTTAATTTATTTTTAATGTGAAATAGACAATTTTAGAGAGAGAATCATTTTTTAAATGTAAAAATTACAAATAATTTTTTTAGAAATTTTAAATTTAATTTATTTTAATTTATAAAATATAATAATTATATTAATTTTTTAAGAAAGCGTAGAATTGTAAAAACATCTCATTAACTCTTCATTTTTCTCTCTTATCATATTTTTAACTCCCAAATAAGGGGAAGGTTACCCTTCGTTTTCTTTCACTTCCTTTCTCTCCCTCTCCTTTAGATTCCCTTCCTTCCCTTCCACTCCAAACTCTAAAAGACACCCTTAGGAAAATGCCAGTATCATTTCAGAGAGAAAAACAAAGAAAGAGTGCAGAGTATGAGTCCCATGAACGGGAAACAGTTGGTCCCTCTACAGAATAAATTGTGTTTCTGAAAAATGACAGTATTTCCATGAGGAAAAAGGATAGGATCCCTATCCGCTAAAAAACAAAATGATAACTAGAATCAGATTTGGTTCTAAGGTAGATCTAGGATAGGCACCCTCACAAATTATGTGTGTATTGCGAGCAACTAGTTATTCATGAGTGAAAATTGTCAAGCATACCCTGCTTTTATGAATAAAAAGAATAGCTATACTCATGCCGTCATAAAAATAAATTTACATAGATGATAGTGAGTCTTTCATGCCTTTTACATGTACAGTATGGACAGGCACACTAATGATTATATTTGGCATTCTGGTTCAAGCAACATCGCAGGCCAAGGAAATCATTGTTGTACTTGTAGAAGCATCATTGACAAATCAAGGTAGATAAAATATGAATCTCCAAGAAGTCATAAATGGGAGCATAAGATACATACAAAAATAGGGGAGTGGTCTACACTTTTCAAAGACAAGATTATACAAATCTAACTAATATCTTGAAGATTCACAGGTAAAAAAAAGTAATGATTCAAAAAGATAGTTTCTCCTCCAGACTGCAGATGATAACCAAATATGATGGATCTTAAGTTCTTAAACAGAAACATTGCTCATAACATGAAAGTTTTTCTATACTAGATTGGTCACATTAAGAATGCAAAGAACCTAACATTCAGTATCTAAGTGAATTTAAGGTTTAGTTAATGTCCCGAGCAGTACAAGTTTGCACAAACTATAGAAATAATTATGTGCCGCCTTTTAGGATTACTTTCTTTTCTACTCTAAACATTCTGGAAGAGAAGAGTAGAAAAAATAAAACAAAATTTTTACATAGAGATGCTATTAGCTGGAAAATAAAGTTAACTAAAATATATGCTATAGGGAGTCAAAAAAGGGAAAGGTAAAGAAGAATGCATCTGTTAAGAACGAAACTCGACGTCTTCAAAGAGGATGAAAAAGTAATTTCACTCCAAAAATAAAATGATGCGGCATGAATGGGGGTTATCTAGATATGTTACAACACCTCGAACTTCAAATGCTATTTACTGATCAATTTGAGACAACAAGCATATCTGGAGTTTTGAAACACTCTTACTGGAAGGATCATTCTAGAACTTCTGACTGCAACAAAAGCTTACAGGTCTTATAAATTGAAGAAATGAGTTTGTTGTGAAGCAGGCAGAATTAGTTAGGACTTAAGCATATATACAGTCAACCAAATGATTTTTCTCAACAACACTCAACAACTAGAGGTTTTGAAGGGGATACCACGCAAGGAGAAGCTATAATTGGACATGTTGGACAAAGTAATAGAGGAATTAATAGAGTTCATGAGGGTTTTTGCTGAGACTAGAAACAACGTTCCCGAAGACATTTTGAGCATCACATTAGCAGGAATTAAGCGTTGCATTAGCTTTTCCCTTATTGAGTGTTGCATTAGCATCACATCTAATCACTTTTCGCAATGGTTAAAATTATAGTCAGATTGATTACTTTTGTTGCTAGAAGAGAGGATAGATTCTTGTATGTAGATTGCAAAGTTTATCCTAGAGAGCATGTAGCTACACAACATAAGTTGGTGGTTTTAGGAGTTTAATATAAAAATGTACGAAAAATGCAGAGAAATGCTCGTAATCCCAGAGTAAGATGGTGGAATTTAACTGAGGAAAAACAAACAGATTTCGAGGAAAGAATGTTTCAAGAAGGACTGTGGCAACTGGATAGATAAACAAGATGTGGAACAACTTGCCAAATTGTATCCAGAGAGTGGCAAGAGGGGTGTTAGGGGAAAGTCAGGGAAACATATAACCAAACAAAGAAAACCTGGTGGTGGAATGAAAAGGTGCATGAAGCAATTAAATGAATAGTGTGTTTTAGATGTTTACATAAATGTCCTAATTCAAACAATTTACAAAATTTAAGATTAACTAGAAAAAAATATAAAGAAAGCAATGCAAAAGGATAGAGGCAAAGTTTTCACCGATACGTACAATAACTTGGGAGCAAAGAAGGAGATAAAGGTAACTATCGGCTTGCAAAGATAAAGAACAAGCAAAAAAAAAAGACTTACCAAGGTTAGATGCAACAAGGATGAAAATAAATAAAAGCAAAAGTTAAAGAAAAGTAGGTGAGTTATTTTAGCAAGCTTTTTAATGGAGGCATCAGAAGTGAGGTAGATTTGGAAGATGCTTCCAAGGATTCAAACAAAAGGTTTGTGCATTAAATTAGATCACATGAAGTTAATGATGCATTGAAAAAGATGTAAATTACTAAAGCTTTGGGTCCCAATGATGTATATGCGTGGAGATACTCAGGGGATGTGGTAATAAGTTGGTTAAGTAATCTTTTTAATAAAGATTATCCAAACTAATAAGATGTCTGATGAATGGAGAAAGAGTATGTTGGTGCCTATCTACTAAGAAAAGGAGATTTCTACAACTATCCAACTATAAAGGCATTAGCTTATGAGTCATACAATGAAGTTGTGAGAGAGTTATTGAGCATTGTTTAATTAATTTGGGTTTATGCCAAGAAGTAAGGGTGAGCATAGATCAAATTGAACTAAATATTTCGCAGAACCGAACCGAACCGGTTTAAATCGATTAGATTCAAAGAACTGGACTTTTTTTTTTACTCAAACCGGTTCGGTTCAGTTCGGAATCGGTTCCATTTGGTTCAAAATTGGTTCGGTTTGGAAACCAGTTCAGAACTATTTCTATTTCTAAGGAAGATAAACAACATAAAAATGGTTCAGAGAACGAGATTTCACACTTTGGAGAATCGAAAAGGACAAGAAATGGCCCTGGTGAAGAAAAGGACCGTAATGTCCACGCACAACAGAATGGAGGGGAAGGTGGAAGAAGGCTGTGCTACGGTGAAAAAGTCCAACGAACCGTAAGAATATTTCAAAAAATCGATGCTGAAGATGATATCTGAGATGGAGATGTCTGAGGCTGCGGATTTGGAACACCTTTTGCAGTGTTTCGATGATTTAGTTCTTGAGATGTAAAAGAAATGTTATGTCTATAAATGGTTCGGTTCAGTTCAAACCGGAAATAAATGGTTCTGAACCGGTTAATAACCGAATTATTTTAAAACCACTTTAGGTTCATGAATTGGTTTGAAAAACCAGTTTTTTTTTGTTCAACTTGGTGCGGTTCTCAATGTAGTTCAGGTTTTTTTGGATATTTTGCACACCCTTACAAGAAGATCTACCATGGAGGCTTAATGAAAAAAGAAAGACCCACATATGGTGTTTATTGATCTCAAGAAGATGTATGATAGGGTTCCAAGAAAGGTTCTATGCTAGTTTCTTGAGAAGAAAAAATTACCTTCAAAAGCAATCAAGTATATATATGATTGTGTTACTAAATGTGTCGAATTATTTTCCCAATCATAGTAGGTTTTATATCAGGGTTCTGCTTTGAGACCTTATCTTTTTGCCCGGTTATGGATGATCTAGCAAAAAATATCCAAGACAAGGTACCATTGTGTATGCTATTTGTAGATGATATTGTGTTTATCGATGAAACCAAGTCTAGTGTTAACACTAAACTGGAATTACGGAAAAACACATTGGAGCATAAAGGATTTACATTAAGTAGGAGTAAGACTTAATAAATGGAATGTGAGTTCGCCACAACAAGAGGAGGAGATCATGAATTCATGAATATACTACGACAATAAGTACCCAAGAAAGATGCAGGTTGGATGAAATGACATAGTCCATCGAAATTTTTATATGTGCAGTAAGGCTTGTAATGTTGTATAGAGCTGAATGTTGGCTAGTAAATAAGCAACATAAACATAAAATAGGAATAGCAGAAATGAGGATGTTAAAATAGATATGTGATATAATTATTTATAAGATAAGTGAAGATATTCGACAAAAAGTTGGAGTCATATTACTAGAAGGAAAGATGAGATAACATAGATTGAGATGATTTGGACATATTTTTCGAAGACCCTGAGATGCTCCGATAAAAAAAGAGGTGTGTTACCGAGAGCACAACATAATGAAATGATGAGGTGGAAAGTAGTAAATCAAGACTTAGAAGTGATGAATAGATTGGCATGCGGTTTGTCTTAGTACTACGTGGACGAAAGCTATTAGCATTGTGGAGAAATAGACTATTTCCATGTTTTATTTATTTATTTTATATTATATTTTATATTCTTATCTATTATTTCTTTTCCCTCAATCTGTTCTTGCATCTATTTGGGTTCATTGACCCAACTATTTTGGTATAAAGATGATGTTGATGTTAATGTTATTCATCAACTTAACATGGAAGTTAGGCAATCGAATGCACCCTATTCCATATTAAGCAATGTGAGCTTTTATAACGAATAAGAAATTCACCATGCAAGTGACACACCATGCCGCAGTCCCTATGCTTGCAAGTTATTTGAATAGCGGTCTAAACATTTCACATCAAAAAAATAAGAAGCCTAAATCTGATATAAATCAGTTTCCCCAGTGTTTTCCTTCCTCCCCCGCTCACAACCAAACATTAAAAAAAAAAATAGAAAATTAGAAAAGAAATAGAAAACTTACAACGGATGTCAAACCATAGGCATAGGCATCGACTCGTTTGCTTGTCAACCAATAGTCCAGAAAAGGGCCTACTAGCAGTAAACTTGCTGCTTGTGCTGGTGCAGTATGGCCCAACAAGTTAAATGATCCAATAGAATACTTTCTTTGAAGAAAATGAACATACTGCAAAAAAATAATGCAAAATATCAGCCCAAGAAAATCTAGATCGTGGAACCAAATAAACAGAGTTTGAAATATATAAACTAAACAAGTTATCCAAGTCTGTTCCAGAAGATGCACATTAGACTACTGCATGTGATAAAATAGCAGAAAAACAAAGAAAAATTGATTCAGGCTTCCCAATTTGACCATTTTAGATCTATAAAAAGTTGGTTAATTCTTACATACATGAATGTTACCAACAAGCATCATGAACCTGAAAATGAACATTTACCAATTCTAGAGCTGCCTTTATGGCAAGGAATTCAAATTGATCAGTTCTACCTCTCAACTAAGATCAGGGGTTTGATAAAGGATTAGTGTGATACTTACATACTGCTGCAGTGCCGTGCTCCAAACTGCTATTAAAGCAGCTATGAAACCCTTTGCATTGACGCTGACATCAGTGACTGTGCAGACGGCAACACCAAGCAGAACCAAAACAATACTAAGCTTGGTGTCCCTTGAATATTGCACATTGTCCAATACAACTTCCAGTAAACAAGATACTGGAATCATACTCAGCTTAGCAATCTGACAATTTCATTTCAAAGGAAATAATTATTATAAATACTTATCTTCGTGACAGGGAGATTTCAAGATTTGATACTTTACCAAAAGCCTAAAAGTTACCTGATAGAAACCGACAGAATTCCACATTAAACTCACGTTCATTCCAACAATGGAGAAATTTGCAAATACGACAAATTTGATGATATCAGATAACGGAAGATGAGACGTCTGGATATATCCCAGCGACTTAAGCACGATAGTCAACAAGGTTGTCGTGGCAAAATGCAGACCGGTTAAAGTTGTGGCTGCATAATGGCATTATATGATATAGAATGTCAGGACTCAGGACTAGTTCAGAAGCAATCTGTAGCCTAACAAGTTATATCAGAAGAAACCATAAACCACATTTTTAATTGATCATCCAATGCTATACTGAGTACTTTAAAGCTGCTGCAGCTGTGGGATATATGAACCATAATACTTCTATTGTCAATGTCAAAACCAAAAATCATGCAAATGAAAAAGTTGCTTCAGAAAAGCTTTCCTAGTGAAAACTTTGAATGCTTATCTAGAACTGTTGAACATCACACAAAAAATTTTGGATTCGAAAAAAAAAAAAAATTGCAGCTAGTGTCTTCTTTCCCTTTCTCCCTATGAACTTCAGAAAAGTTATGGTGGTCCTTTGAATACTGCATCAGATAAATAAATGTCACATCAAATAAATAAAAATTGCATTCGGCTTAGTTAATGCTTTATCTGTGAGTCAGAGATACAAAAGTCTGATTGGACTGCACAAATCAGCATATCATCTGAAAGCATACCTTTTGCTCAGATTTTCTTTCTATCTCTCTTTTTCACTATACATAGTATAGCTTACAAGTTACGAGCATCATCAATGCCAATTTGTCCCCTATTCAACTACCATCAAGATATAATGGATATTTCTTTCAAATCCTAGAAAAGTTTATACTGCACACTATCAATAAAAGCCAAACACAATCAACACATTTTAACTTAAAGTATTAGTATCATTTGTACAGAAAGAAAGAAATTAAAGTGAGGAGTAAACTATTCAAAGTCTCTATATTATAGCCTCTCACCAACCACCATATCAAATATCACCCCTTAGGATCTTCTCTAGTCCATTCCATGCTACATCATCATTATATAATTAATGCAATAGAACCGCATCCTCAAGCATAACCCAATCCAAACTACTAAAGTTTTACAATCTGAACGAACCTAATCAATAATTTCAAAGTGAAATGCATCGAGTCTATTATACCAAAAAGCTTTCTCCTTCTTTACTCCACACACAAGAAAACATGCATATACGTACGTGTATTATACTGAAAAGGAATGCACAGGATTGGTAGTTTATCCAAACAACACCCATATAAGAAGTATGGTATCTTTTAAGTTTAAGGCATGTCCAATCAAAGATTTAAAAGAGGGGGAAGAAAATGGGAAAAGGTCATGATGAGGCCATACCGAAAGTAAAACCATATGTAGCCATCAGGGCTTTATTCACAAGGATTATTCCCACAGACGTGACTACATTGAACATCCATGATGCTGTATCAAGGGTAGCCTTCCTGTCACCCTTGCTTGCAGAAGACATATTGAACTAGAGCTTCTAATATACAAACTGAATTTTTCACTGCTCCGCCTTCAAGCAATAGAATGTATCACTAGTTTCAAAATCCCACAGCTTTATCTGTATGGAAAAATAAATCATCAGAAGAAGCACATATTCCTATAGATAAAGTAAAATCCTCATACTGATCCACACTCCACAGAAAGGAACAAAAATAGAAAACAAAAACCCGTCTTAAAACAAGAATTAGAGAGCACACTTTGGGTATGAGTTTGTATATCCATACACAAGGAGACTTACAAACAAAGGAACCCAACAAGAAATATGAAATCTTATCCACCCTTAATTGATATCTACATCCAGAGAGTTGACATCAGCAGCTGAGAAGAATCGCCTATTATCTTCTCTATATAAAAAAGTTAAAAATAATTGATTCTGAGTTTCTTATGAGAAGCTCGTTCAATTTTTTTGGTCAAAACATTCCAAAAAGGGGAAAACCAAAAACCAAGAAAAGATAAAAACAAAAAGAAACAGCCAAGGTTACAAGGACAGAAACAAGAACACTGAAGTTCACGATGTACACAGCCAACTATGATTACTTGCAATCACAATCCAACACCCTCAAAGACACAATTCAGCTAATAAAAATAAAAAAACCAGTAAATTAAAACCAGAATAGCATAATCCCCATCAGATCCGTTACTCCTTTCGATAATACACAGTAATTCACAGCAGATTTGAACTTCGAAGTGGACAGAAATCACGAAATTGCAATAATTCTCAACACAGAAGAAATAACTTGAGCTCAAAGTAACGCTCAAACCGAATCCCGAACTCAGATCCGCGATCTCTAATCAAGAACTGCGCTAGTAAGAAACCATATAAATCCCCAAAACAAACGATTTTTTTTTTTTGGTTTTTTTTGAAAAAGAAATGAAACAAACTCACGGAAATTTTGTTGAATTGAATAAACAAGCTTGTGATTTGTGAAGGTATTAAACGACGCACCGTTTTGGCGAGAGAGGAGAAGAGGAAGGTGCAGAAGTGATGCAGTGGTAGTTGCGGGAAATTGAAAGAGCAGCGTCGTGTTGGTTTTGTTTCAGAGAGAAAAACAAAGAACACAGCTCATAAGCTTTTCGCTCTTTGCTTCTCTCTTATTTTTGGGGGTTTCTGTGTTTGCTTTATATATTGGAATTTTATGGCTGGTTTTGTAAACGTTCAGATTCAGTGATCGAAGAAAAGTGAGTTGCGGGGAAGCACGAACAGCAGAGTAAACGGTATGTCACCAAGAAATAATACTAGTCAACTTCATGGTAGCCTGCAATTCAATTTCCATTTTCTTATAATTTATTAGCAAGAAAATTATTATTATTAAATATTATATTTATTTCCCATTATTTAATGGAAGTTTTGATGTCATTTTTTTTTTTGGTAAGCGAAAGTTTTGATGTCATTAATTACTTGTTAGTATGTTTAGTCCGGGGAAAAATGATAGCTCATCAGAAATAATATTATTTTAATTATCAGTGTTGTTTTCTACTTTTCTTTTTGTTTGGTGTGAGCATGTGCATCAAGGTCATTTTTAAGTCATTCTCCCATTTCTTTCGTTGTCCCTGTCCATGTGGTGTTCATTATCAACAAGAAAATATACTGTCATTTCCTTTTTTTGGGGAATCAATGTTGTTAATGTTTACGTGAAGAGTTCTCTATGGTTAGGGATAAATTTTCTGGGAAAATAATTAGTTGCTATGTGTCGATCATGTAAGCATCATCATTAAATCCTTGAGAAAAATATATCCTGTAAAAAAGATAATTAGGAAGGACTCTATATTTCTTTCTCAATGTAATTTAAATATTGACTTCTTTTTCATTTATTAAGCAATTATGACAAGTAATAAATACAAAGTTACGAACTTTAGTCCCAAATGAAAAGTAGATGCTAATTGTAAAATAAAATATGTATCATGTCATACTCGGTGTTTTTTTTTTTTTTTTGTTAAGAAGTTTATTGATATTTTGATCGTTACTTATTTTATGTTCTTTTCATGTGATTAATGTAAGATCATTTGTTTGTTTTTTTTTCTCCCTCTCTTTGTTGTGATATGTGTTACTCTTTTAAGTGCATCTAACTAGGGTTGGGCTGGGCCAAGCTTTGTTCTGAAAAGTCCAAGTCTACGTTAAAAAATTTCAATTTGACCTGACCCAAGTCTAGTACGAGTCTAATTGTTAGCTTGACTTGACCCGTTTATAAAAAAGCGAATGGCCTGGCTCATCCCGTTAGCTTGTTAATTTTTAACTTCCAAGCATAATCATGAATCAACTTTACAAAATACTCAAATTCTGTTGCTAAACCAAAAATCATAATTTCAACGTTTAAACAAAATTATGAATCACAACAAAACTCATACAACCTGCATTTAAATCACTTTGAAAAGCAAAATGCTCAAACTAAATAACATATATTTCATCAGATCCAACAAACAAATTCATACTATATAAATTAAAATAACTACATGAATCTAACAAACACATCATGATGATGCTTGTAGTAAGTATAATCTCTCCTAAAAATCTTTTAATATATTTATATACACAATCTAACATGCTGAGATGTTGATTCCTCTTTCGTAAGAAATAAAGTCAGATTTCTATTAAAATATAATCAAATATAATTAAGTTATAAATAATTGTAATTGATTAAATTTATATATTTTGTTTTTTCTTCAAGGCATACTTATTCTATTTTATTTTATTTAAAATAAATAGTATAATATAGGCCAGCCTGTAGGCTTATAGGCCAGGCCTTGTGAAAGTGGGTCTACGGCCTTTTTATTAAACAAGTTTTTTCAAAGTCCAAGTCCGGCCTATTTTACGAAATATACTAGGTCAAGTCTGGCCTGATGTAGGCCGAGCCGTAGACCCCTGTAGGTCGGCCCGACCCAGTTTCACCCCTACATGTAACCATACGCAGATGGTAGACCGTGAAATAAATAAATGAATCAATTGTTTAACCGGTTCATTATTTGAATCTCTCTCTCTCTTTCAGATTAATATTTCTTATATTGGAAATAAAATTATCTTCTACATACAAATAAAAATTTGTGCGTTTCATTTTTTTCTCTCTCTCCTCTTCAAATGACTTCACATGAACCTCGTATATTTTTATATATATGTAGAAGATAATTTTATCTAGAAACATTAATCTCCTCTCTCTTTTTTTATAGATTTTCGAAGTTTTTAATCATACTTGTTGTACCATTTTAAACAATCATATCATATTATTGTTGTTATAATAATGAGTTCTCTTCAGCTAAAGAAAAGGAAAAATATGTATCAAAAAGAAAATGGAAAAGGGAAAATTCTCAATATTTTTTTTTGGTGGATAAAATTCTCAATATTATAAATACATTTGAATAATAATTGTAATAAATAATTGAATTAGATATGGTGATTTTAGAATCCCTCATTAATTATTATTATTATTATCTTGTGATGAATATTGGAATTTCCACGACTTAGTATATACGATCTTTATTTAAACAACATCCTACTTTGCTTAAAAAAACAACTTTTATATGAAAATTGTAACAAGTGCGTCATAATTAATTATGATTAAACAAATTTAAAAACTAAATGGGTAATTTTTTTACTTTTCCGAAGCATCTCGCCAAAACACGTTAGTGTTAATTATTTAGTAATTTTCTTACTCTAGTATACATATTTCTTTTTTTTTTGGGTACATTAGTATACATATTTTAACTGAAAGGCACATGCACAACCTTTATTAAAGGATTCAAATCGCAGCATATATAACAAATTTCTCCTTTTGAAGCAAAGGGAACATGGATGCCTTGTTTTGGACAGCTCCAATATCTATATTTTAATAACTTTAAATCACCATTTAGATCAATTAATAAACTTTTCGTGAAATTCGTAACTTCTCCCAGCAAAAGTATATTTTATTTTCTAAGTGTGTCCAAATTAACTAAGAAGCATAGAAATCTTAGAAGAAAATTTTAATGTATATAAAGTTAGGATTATTTTATATCGGTATAAGTTACATTAACTGATAATCCTAGTTATATGTATATAAATCGTTAGATGCAAACAATTAAATAGTTAAGATTTGATGCTAGACTTCTTATGCTTACACTGGTGTAGGAATAACACACACGAATTCAACATGTGCGCACACACATATAGAGGGGGGTCATGATTATTTTACATCAGTATAAGTTATATTATTGATCATAGTAGTTGATCCTATTTTTATCTAACAGCTCTGATTTATTAGATATATGAGCCGTAAGATGCAAACAAATCAATGACCAATATTTGATTTAAAACTTCTTAACGCACACACACATATAGAGGGCAAGTCATGAGCACCACTAGGGTTAGCCTAGTGGTGTGAGGTGTGTGTGTTAGGAGTGTGTGTAGTGTAGGGTGTTGTGTTCAATTCCTTGTAACATTCAAAAAAGAGGGCGGGTCATGATTATTTTACATCACTGTAAGTTACACTATTGATCTTAGTCATTGATCCTATTTTTATCTAACGGCTCTAATTTATTAGATATATGAGCCGCAAGATGCAAGCAAATCAATGACCAAGATTTGATTTAAGACTTCTTTTTTTTGAACCAGTGTAAGAATAACCTATCCCTATATAGGGGATGTATATTTCGACTTCAATATAAGAATAAGAAGTCTTATTTCCCATTTCAATCTTGGATCTCTGTCCATCTTACAGTTATATTTATTAGGGATTAGTAATTAATTAATAGGTATAATTTAATAAATTATAATCATTAGATGCACAGAAATCAACGATTGAGATGTGGAATAAAATTTCTTAGTCTTACGCCGCAGTTAATATATATACATGAAAAGATCCTTTGACACCCTTACCAAACTAAAAAGTTTGGCATCAAATCTTAACTATTGATTTTCATGAATCTAACAGTTATATTTATTGGGTTACACTTGTGGAAATAGATCCTCTCATGTTTAAAAAAAAAAGACATGGTTATGTGGGACAATCATAACCATACAAAGATGAATCAACGGTTATGATATAGTAACTACTTATTTTAATTTTTTTTATCTAATAAATTATAATCCTCAATATCCTCAAATAGACAAAAATCAACGATTAAGATTTGGTATCAAAATTTTTAATTTGATACCAATATCAAATGATCATGTCCTTAATATATATATATATATATATATATATATATATATATATATATATATGTGAGATATAATTCTTTGACACCGATGTTAAAATAAAAGTTTGACACTAAATCCTAACCTTTGATTTTATGAATCTAATGGTCATAATTTATTGTGCATATTTATTAATTAATTATTAATTTTGAATAAATTATAACTATTAAATTGACAGAAATCAACGGTTAGGATTTGAGGTCAAATTTTTCAATATGACATTGGTATCAAAAAACCGTATTCGTGTATATATATATATATATATATAAAAGAAACGGATCATTTTTCGTAAATATAAATTATATTCTGAATCTTAATCGTTAATCTATTCCTATCTAATTGCTCTAAGATAAATGCATAACAATTAAAAAAGAAGAGACATTTAATACATGAAATACAAGAGACAACCTTTATTTTAGGGCAATTCTGAGGGGGAAGACAGGTACACAATCCCCAAAGGTAATTCTTCTTTCATCTGTAAAAGATTAGAACTTGTAGGGCGCGAACGAAAGTGAGAAAATGAAGATTTTGGTGAATATCAGAAAAGGGGTGAGAGTAAAAATTAAATAGTATTGTGTGTGTGTGGGAATTAGGTGGCAGGCAGGGTAGCACCATAGGATGACAGGAAAAATCAGCATTCAGTGCCATATGGTTGTATTTATTTTTTATTTATTTTTTGGTACAAAATATGGTTGTATTTAATGAAGGGTTTGATGTGTTTTATATTATAAAATACAAAATTATTTTCTACACATATATAAAAATGTATGAGATTCGTATAAGGTTATGTAAAAAAAAAGAGAAAAAAAATTATGAACCCCACATACTTTTATATATTTATGAAAAATAATTTATTTCTTATAACATGAAAAATATTAAACCCTTTAATAAAAAGAGTGGAATGGTATTTATCTAAAAAAAAAAAAAGGGGTGGAATGGTGGCTGCCTTTCCTGCGATAGTGTAGATTCCTTTCAGTAAATTAGTTTTATATTTTTTATAAATTATTTTTTATAAAATACTACAATGTTCAAAAAGCCTTCTCCTTATGCCCAGTAGAAGTGTAGA